ACATGTAGTTTTTAGCGGCCCTAACTCACTTTTAAGGGTAGAAACTACCCCTAAAAAATTTCTCCTACCGAACAACAGGCTAACCCATCTAACCCTGGGGACTGAGAACAGGGAGTTTAATCACTTTTTTTTTTAATGATTGAACTCCTACACCTGATGCTGGCTAATCCATCTCACTACCTATGCTTTACCTCACCTAATCCCTAAATACTACCTTTACTAAACCACAAGTAGGCTGATCACGTAACCATGGAAATGGCGAGCTTGATAGCTTATTTTTCTTAAAAGAATGGCAAAGTAGGTTCTGAATTTAAATTTTGCTCCATGAGCCTATGTTAGTAACTATACAGTTTTTATATTGTTTATTAAAAAATCCATGTTGAATCAGCAAAATCCAAGATTATATGCCCTAGACACCATCCTTATTTATTAGTATACAAAGTAAAGAGTGAACTCGTAAATGACAACTTGAAAAATTTTTGCACCGAAACAAAAAAAAATGTTTGATCTAAAAATTTGTTATGTTGTTATTATGAGTTCTCTTCAAACTTATAGTTATAAATAATGGTGGCAACTGGGGCATACAATCGTGGGTTCGGCTGATTATAAATTTGTTCTTTAATGAACAGTAAAAAACATAGAACTTACTGACGGACTAAGCTTGAGTAAATCATTTTTAATTAAGTAACGTTCACTTTCAGAATCCCCTTAAATTAATTGAATATCATACAACAAGCAAGTCATCCTAACCACTTATGCTTTAGCTCACCTCAACCTTAAAAATAACTCCTACCTAACTACAAGCAGAGTAACTCACGTACCCTAGAGAACAGTGAGTATTTTCACTTTTGTTCCTTACTTTGCTTAAAACAAGATTAATTTTTCAATAAAATTTTGATTTGTTCAAAAATAAATATGAGATGTATATTAAATAAATAAATAAAACTTTTCAGAATAGAACTTACACTTTGCTATAACCAGGAGTAACCACGAGGAAGTGGCGAGTGTATACTCCCATGTTTTTTTGTTTTTTATTTTTTTTTTCCATTCAAAATTATTTAATTAATTCTAAACAATAATAGTAAAAACATACAATTTATTTTATTTTGGTAGAATCCAACTTTCCCATTATTATTTAAGTCTGTTAATTTCTGCAATTATGTAGGGAATCATCACTATTAAATTCAAAGAAGTGATTTATGCATAACAACGTATGCCAACTGCATCTCATATTAACTGTTTTACCACACTTCTCACATACTAAATTATGTTATATTTAGGTGAGTTAAGGTATAGGTAGTGAGGTGAATTATCCAGCATTAAGGGTAGAGTTAAATCATTTTAAAAAAAAAGCGACTCAATTCCCTGGTCCCAGGGTTAGATAGGTTGGCCTGTGATTTGGTAGAGATGGTTTTGCAAGGGTAGTTTCTAGTTTTTAAAGTGAGATATGGCTGCTAAAGATACATGTGTCTAAAATTTTTTAATGTTCTACTCGTATACCAAGTCTCATCCAATTAGGGCTGACTACTTTCGGTAGATTTACTCATCAGCAAACAAAACCAAAGAACTATGTTAAATGTTATTTGCTGAAATCCAGAAAAACCAACTCGTGAACGTGTGATTCAGTAGCTATAAAGAAGTGGCTACTTGTGATCAATAAGATGATAGGCGAAGAGTAGGCGGATCAGCCCAAGCTGCTAACGCAGTAATTTCTGTGTAAGCTTGATTACAATAAGCGAAGCTAACACACATGTGTTAAAACTGATAATATATGTGAATACGAACAAAAATTTGATTCTGAAGTCACGTATGTGTAACTTCCAACCAATTATATTGATCGACCGCCGCTTCTGAAGAGGTGCCAATTTATTCATCTCGCTGAAGTGCTCTCCCTCAATAAACAGTATAAAACAAGTGTTTTAACGTCAGTAATTAATTACAGAGAACTGTTTTATCGACTCAGATTCTTACACTACACATCCTTAGTGTGTGAATTTAATTACATAATTCCAATCCCAAAGAAATAAATACATTATAAATGAAAATATCTGTATAACCATATCTTCATCGATAAGATGAATTTTCTCAACAGTATGAACGTATAGTAAAACTCAACCTTTTTTCATTCAATGGTGAATACTGCAGCAGCACTGGAACAGCTAAATCGTGGTGAGTGGACACCAGTAACGATTTTTAAAGGTCATCTTAGATGCACACAAGCGATATGAGTGCCTATGACCATAAACTCAAGGTCCTGTATAGTTTAGTCCAACACTTTCGCGGTATGGGGAAGAGCAATGACCTTGTTTCGGTGATTAAACACAAGCCTCACGTTTTTTCTTTTGAACATAAGCTGCAGAGAGTGTCACCGCGCCAAGAACAACAGCTTAGCTTCATCTCACAATTTTCTGCCCACATACAACACATTAAGGGTGTCGACAACGTTGTGAAAGATTTGCTCTCATGAATCAATACTCTGTGACTGCCCACCTTCATTAATGCTGCAAGTCTTTTTTGGAGCCAGATTAGTGTTTCGACCCTGGGAATATTGCCATCGTTGCACTTTTCAAGATTAAACAAGGATCCTCCTTCTTTCTTACCACAGTCGACCGCTTCTTTCATTAGCTGTTAAGTTGTCGTAGACGTTGTTTTCTTATCATAGACGTTTTCTCTCCCCCAATAGAAAGGCTGGGTGGTAAAAAAATAGCTGCATTTATTTATATGCTTGGGTGTATGGCGAGCGATGACATGTTATAAACAGGCAACAATGGAGTGTTTATGATCATGTGTGTAGTGAACGACGACATCCTGTACAGGGGTAGTGTTGATGTGCTCGTGGCTGCAGTAGGACGTTACGTATTGTCCCTCCTTAAGGATAGAGATTTGGTATGTTACGAAATTAGCTCTAGGACTCTGTTGTAGTAAAAAACGAGGCCAGCGGTATAGGAACTTGCTGTTGCTACTGTGAAGCAAGAATACCAGCAGAGTAGTCTCCCGGAGAGTGGACTTGACCCTAAGAGATAGACGAAGATGATGGCTCTGCTTTGTGGATGCACTTGTGCAATAAGTGGAGCCTGTGTTAAGGAAGGTGTCATCTAAAATAGTGGTTGTTAAGTTCTGAAAATGAGAAGATAACGTGGCGTTGGTGGAGGTTAAGGCATCCGTGCTGGATGCGAGACTAGCCGTTGTTGTGGGCTTGCTAGCTTGTTTTGGTGTGATTCCTCCAGTTTGACCATACACTCCAAGGTGTGGGTAATAAGGGCTCGTGATGTGTCGATGTTGATATGCTTGCTGCAATGATGCCGATGCATATAGAGTTTTGTGTGTTGGCGAGATGTTATGCTTACGCTTAAGCACCGAGGGAGATTGAGAATGAGGTTGTATTTAATATTTTGTGTTAGGTATAGCTTGAACGTATGGATTTGGCGAGTGCTGATCTGTAATTTTTTTATGTGGTAAGACCTCTTTGTTCTTGCACCAAGAGTCAAGTATTCAACGCATTTAAAAAAATGTACGATTCTTTGTTGGAATCACCAATGTAAGATTTGTTTTAGATTCTTAGTTTCAGTCAAGGGTGGATGACAGGAGATCTGACGGTGAATTGATCCGACATACAATATCGAACGAAACAATGCATGTTATTTCAGTCTTCACGCGCTTTTACTGTGGTATAGCATGGAGGCCAATCTAGACAGTGGCAACGCTGAGAGCTATGCAAAAGCGGGCACTTGCAGTGGCATGCCTCCACAACATTACTAAATAAAGGTTGAAGCTTTTAGAAATCGTCTATAACAAATAATTTCCAATAAAGGTATAGAAAAAAAATCAAAAATACAAGAATTGGAAGTTATAAAATACAATATAATGATTTACAAAAGTAAATCAAAGGCAATGTTTTTTGAAACGTTGTAATTTTAATTATTATTATTACTATTATTATTATTATTATTATTATTATTATTATTATTATTATTATTATTATTATNTATTTGAGCATGTTAAGAGTGCACATGAATTTTTTCAGATTTTTCACCAGGGGAAATTTTCGAGAAAAAAATTATGAAATATTGACAGTTTAACACGAGCTCTTATGAAATAGTCGACAAAAAAGTAGTCATCTGGGGTCGTAATACATATTAAATAAAAAATATCTTATTTTATGAAAAAAAAACTGTTAAATTAAATAATTTAAGAAGAGTTCTTATGACTGACTCCTATAAAGTTGTTTTATTTGCCGTACAGATACCGTAAAAAAAAGAAAACATATCGTTATCGAATCTCAGTATTTTTGGTAATAAAAGTGACATAAGTTATGTAAGAGCTTTAGAGAGCCTCTTAAAATGTGGTAGAGGGGTCGTGAAGGGCTGTGAAGGAGCTCGAAAAAAATTTTATTTTGTGAAAATAATGAAAAATTAAAAAGCTTCGATGTATTATTGGTAAGCGTGCTAGCCTCCTAGTCGGAGAAACGTAAGGGGTCGTGGGTTAAAATTCTGTCGAAAAATATGGAGATTATTTTTGTTGGGGCTCTTTAAATGGGATTAATATTTATGACGCCGAAAAACTATTTTTTTTTTTTTTTTTTTAAATTCAATAGTGGATTTTTCTGGTAATATCTGGAAGCCAGCACCTGAAGAGTTTATCGGTAAAGTTGCTATTAATTTTTCATACATATTTTTTTTTGGGATGTTTATGTTGTGGACGTCTGCTTTAAAAAACGGTCGCTTTAAATTGGCCGCTAGACTTAGAATTATTAGAGATAAGGTGTAGCTGTTTAACGCAAAGGGATATAAATTTCTTACTATATTCCTGTTAACCGAGATAAAACAAGGTTAATAAAAGAATATTTCCCTGTTATTTCTAAACTGGTAAATATGTTTAAATTTCATTAATATTATAACATAATTTTGTTGATAATACTACTTGGATAATTTTGTCTATTAAGTAACCAATGCACATCATTGTATAGAGTTACATGTTCATTCTTATAACTTTTTAGGTTATGGTAAAACACACAAAGATGCAGCTAGTGTTCGAACAACATATCCAATACCTGCTGCTTGTGGATTATATTATTTTGAAGTTAAAATCGTTAGTAAAGGTCGCGATGGCTATATGGGTATAGGACTTTCGGCACATGGTGTAAATGTCAATAGACTTCCAGGATGGGACAAAAATTCGTATGGTTACCATGGAGATGATGGTCACAGTTTTTGTTCATCAGGAACTGGTCAACCATATGGTCCAACTTTTACTACCGGTGATGTTATTGGTTGTGGTGTCAATTTAGTTGATAATACTGCGTTTTATACGAAAAACGGTAATCATTTAGGAATAGCTTTTACAGATTTACCGGTAAGTTTTGTTTCATCCTATTTTAACTGTGTGTGAACGAAGTATTGCTTTTTAGCTCTATCGGGTTGGTCTATAAAAGCTTGATATTTTCTGCCAAAATTGGTAGAGCTAATGTAAAATAAGTAAACTTCATTCTCTATAAAGTTATACATTTGTCACAAGAGTTTGTCATCTAAAATGCCAATGACACATAAAGTAAAATTCAAAACTTGTCTCAAAAAACAAATCAAGTTTTTTATGATCATTAGCTAATTTTAAAATTTATTTACCTCAATTTATATGGAATATCCATCACTTAGTTTTGTATTCTTTAGTTCATTTTCACAACAAAAATCTTGTTAACGACTGTAACAGCTGGAGCTATATTTTGATAACTTTGAGTCACTATTGACAATTTAAGCTGACAATTTCTTCTAGACAAAGCCTAATCATGAAGTTAATTTTTTCTTTAACAAGCATTTTTGTATTCTGAAATTCAAACTTTTGTTAATCACTTGCAGTGCATACTAATTATCACTTTATTTGTCGAATTTCGTATGTATGGAGTTGAATAATGTATTGAAAAAAGTACCTAAACCCAATCGTTAAAATTTTAACTTTAACACATATGGGCAAGTAGACGCATGTACGTTTTAAAATTTGAATAACACACACAGACTTAAACACATTTTTCTACATTATTTTTTAATTTAAGTTTGTGCATTCAACAGTTTTTTATTGTCACTGCAAATCTACTGAATGAGAATTAATTATGTGAGTATAGATTTCTTTGGTTTACATACAGACTGTTACAGTTTCATTTCGTTTGTTTTTAAATCATACAAATAAAATAAAATGACTCATTACATGATTTATTTATTCCCAATTTTACGAGTTATTAACAAAAAAGCAGTTAAGTAGCTTATTTTTTGTTCATTTATTTATATTTAATTAAATTGACTTATTCTAACAATTATGATGTCATCAATTTGTATTTATACTGTCGATAAATGTAGTTAAAATATATTATAAATTAAAGTTAAAGTCTAGTTAATCTCTTTAAGTAAAAACTTAAAATTTTTCCAGCATTTTAGTCACATTTCTTATTGTAGAAAAATTTTGGCTTTTTTCTTACCAATGTGCCCAGGAATTCGACCATTTCTTACTCTCACCATGCACGTGACAGTATTATTTACTTTGCCTCTACACCTCTGGTCTGTAATAGTTATTTTATGATATATATTCTAAGCTTTTCGTACTTTTTTAGACAATGAGGGATATTCTGCCGTGTGGCGGCGATAGCGAGGGCATGGGGGTAAAAATCGCCAAAGTCAAACTATTCTAAATTTCTTAATTTTTACATTTAAGAGACAGATAAAGAGCTCAAGAAAAAAAAACAATTATTACTTAGTTATTGTTGTACTGATCACTTATGCATAGCCAGAGTTGGCACATGTAAATATAACCTACACTCTTTTAATGTGAAATCACATTTGTTCGTTTCGTGTAAACTTTGTACCTATGAATAATATAATTAGTGTCTTGAAAAAATCCCAAGTCTAATTGAGTGACAATGCGAGAAAAATGTTGTGTGAATAAATGTGAAAATTTAGTAAATAGTGGAGGGAATTTGTTTTCTCAAAAATGGAAATAGACTGAAAGTTTGGATGAAGCAGCTTAAAATTTCGCATTGGACGCCAGGCAAATGGAGTAAAATTTGCAGCTCTCATTTTAGTTCTGATGATTTTAATGTTATACCTACAAGTAAGAGTGCAATGAAAAAATACGAAAGTCATAATCTTGATAATGCAATTTAATTCCACGTAATGTTACAATCAAAAAATGCTTAAAGCCCACAGTGGTACCATTTTACAGTGAAAAAGAAAAACGAGAGGAAGAAATATAAAAGAAAGCAGAAGTTGAACGGTTTGTTGCACACTTTATTGAAAAAATTGTTGCTGAAAGATGCTTGAAAAAAATGATACAAAAACTTATTGAAAAGCACAACTGTCATGTGCCATATAGAAGTGTTGAGAGAGATGATACCTGCCTCATAACTTATCCACTGCATATTTCAAATAATTAATGAGAATTTAGTTATTTAAATGTTAGTCATAAAGTCATAATAGGTGAAACAAGAGAGGAAGACACTCAAAATTCTGCTTCAATCTCAGTAACAGAACGTTATTTGTCTGATACCTGTTCTTCAAAACCACTCAGTTTTTGTATTGAGTCTATAAAAAGTGATGACAAACTAGTACACTTTTATACAGGGTTGGAAACATACCAAAAGTTTCAGTTTGTTTTTCAAATACTTCGTGAAGCTGTGAACGAACTTAGCTATATTATCGGTCCTAGACCATTAAATAATATGAGTAGTGTAAATCAATTTCTACTAACTTTATTGATTCTTCGTCAAAATAGAACAAACTACGAAGTGAATGTGTTTTTTAATATCCCTACAAAAAAAGTGACGAACGTTTTTATCACCTGGATTAGATTCTTGTATCTACAATGGTCAGAAATTTTACAGTGGCCATCATGAGATCTATTAAGATTTTTCACACCTAGTGATTTTTTAGATAATTTTCCAGGAACTAGATGAATCTTAGATGTAACTGAGATACCTATAGATAAATCTGGTGTACCCATGACTCAACAATATACATTTTCTACTTATAAAAATAAAGCTACTGCAAAAACAGTAATCTGTGCTTAACCCGGTGGATTAGTGACAAATATTACTCCAGCCTGTGGGGGGTCAACAAGCGACAGACAAGTTATTGAAAGAAGCAACATTATGCGCTTGTGCGACCCTGGAGACAAGTTGATGGCCGATAAAGGCTTTGATATACAAGATTTGTTAGGTCCATACGGTATTACATTAAATATTCTCCAATTTAAAAAAAAAAAATCAATTGTCAACTTCTACTATAACTCAAGATCAAAAAATTGCAAGCAAACGAGTTCACATTAAACGCACAATTGGATTGGCAAAAACATACAATATATTAGAAGGACCCTTGAATAATACTCAAACTCTATTATGAGATGAAATAATATTTGTGTGTTTCATGTTATGCAATTTTCAATGACCAATCATTAGTAAAAATGATTGAATGCAAAAAAATGTAATTTGACCCAGCGTTTTCTTTCGTTATGTCCTTGGTATGTTGCATGTTTGTATCACCTTGCTTCAATTTATTTATCGTTGGGTTTACTTCGTCTTCGTGACTTTCATTACGCTTAATCGTTTCTCTCAGCAATTCACGCAAATTATTATATTCATCATTTGCATCAAACGTTACTCCTGCTTTTAATACTTTTTCTGATATTTCCTCTTTATTTAAATTTTGTATCCATCCGGTTCCCGTATTTGACATCAAGAACTCTGTTATCCTTTTGTTCGGATCGCGGTTTTGCCGTCTACGCACCTTCCTACGTGACCTTAACACGCGTTCTTAGCTATATGTGGCACCTTACTGCACACACGAATTCTTTAAAATCCTCGTCGCCAGTTGTTATATCTCGGGATAATCCAAATCAGAGTAAGTGAGGTGAATTGATGAATAATAAGATAATTATTAGGTAAGAAATATAAGTATCAACTTTATTCAGTATCTTACTACAAGGTTGATTGAAATAGTACATGAGCGCGTATATTTGACGACCGCTCGTACGCTACTGTTCGACCTCTACATTTCAGCGTAGATAATATGATTTGGCGCCACTAATCGTTTTGCGTAGGTACCACTAAGTACTAACAGTACAAATACATCACAAGAAAAACGTATTTTTTAATCGTATTTACTTATTAATTACTACATGCATACTACTTTTGTTAACCAAAAATACATAAATTTATTCATAAATATACATATCGATACACACTTACACATTTTTTTTTCTGTAAGTACCTACTATCGTAGTATATTTATTTTTCAGGTTTTATTGTAATCGAGTACACATAGCCTTGGTACAGTAAAGTACATTTTACATTATATTAGTTACAATATTACAAGTATTGATTACATGTTACATTATTGGTTACACATTATACATTATTGGATACACCTTGTAGTTCGTTGGTATGGTGATGATGTCACATAGATCACCTCGAGAGCGAAGGATCTATGTAGTAGGCCATTTTGCTGCGAGAAGGTCGCCCCATCCATTAATAAGGAGCATTGCGTGGTGAAAAAGCACATGTGAAAATTCACAGAGGTACTTGCTCGGGAGAGTCGCACCGGGTGGGATTCGAACCCGCAGTCTTCCGCGTGCCGACCCACAAACCAGCCGACCGAGCAATGCGCACTTGACAAATATACATATCTTTACATGCGTACGTTTTTATAAATAAGCAAAAGTGACATATACGTGCACAAATAACCAATAAACGCAATAACAACATAAACAGGACAGACACAACCACCTCATGCAAGTACAAACAGTACATATATATGTGTACTATTTTGAGTTTATTCCAAGAGACTTCCTGTGAGGAGAGATACACTCGTTTTTCCTAACACCTACCACATACTGTACACTAGCGCTCAGTAGCAACTGTATTGTTTTTCTCCGCTTACGTGAGGCATCAAAAAATACGACTATACAGTAATCTAAGAAAGGGAACGGAGTGCGGAAAGAGTGTCGTAGCGAGCCAAGCGCGCAAAACTTTGGTAGTGTATAATCGGACAAAGGGCAGGCTATAGAGTACTTTATTGACCGCCCTAGTGACTGCATTCAAATGTGGCCTTCAGGTATGCCCCAAGTCGAAGGCTCGTTACCACATTAGAGAAAATAACGTCCATGCCAACCCCCCGATCAATACTTTGAAGACCACTATTCCTTAATTCTTTCAGCATTATCCTCGAACCAAATACGATAGATTTTGTTTTCTTTATGTTGAGCAGGAAGAAAGCGCTGGACGCTCAATCCAACATTGACAGCACTGCATACCCCAGCGCGTCCACTCCCTTCCTGAACCTTTTAATGGGGATATCCATATAAATCTGGAGGTC